GCTGGACCTCACATCTTACTAAATGACAAAAGGAACACCAAGCCCCAACTGATGCAGCTGGAGATGAGATGCTGAAGCTCTAAAACCATTTTCTTAGCTAAAAGAACCTTTTAATTGCTCATCTTTCAAAGATTTTAGGGCTTTTTTTTAAGCATTATATTTAATTCTTTATACCTAGCCCTAAATTTAGAGTTAAAAAGGTAAGGACTTGAGGCAGCACATGTTGTAGCTAAGTGCTCCTTTGTAGATAAAGTAAAGAAAAAAATGATGCGTTCAGTTCCTACTTTCCAAGAGCTTCGCAGTCAGCAACCAGCCTCTCTTTGAGTCACCTGAGATGCTGACGGGGCATAGTGTTATTTGCCTTCTCTCCTGGCCGAAACTACCCCCACTAGGTCCACTGCATCTGCTGCTGGTAAAGCCGGTGAAGCAATTAATATGCCCGCGTTCACCGCGCGTTCCCTCCATCTGTGAGTGGAGGCACCTTTTACCACCTGGTCTCTGCGCACAAACACATTTAGGTTCCGATTGACGGGTGTGTGATCATAGTTGAGTGCCACCTATTTCCCCGAGTTCTCATCTGGAGGAGGGGTACATCCCTGGGCCACAAAGTGCATAGCTCTCAATGAGAAGGGCCTGCATCCCCTGCAGGTGGTCCCGTGCAAGCCCCAGCCTGCCTCTGCAGAAGTACTGGTCAGCTTCCACGTAGTCACCACCCGCTGTCTGCTGGGGAGCCCAGCACGCTGCCTTTCGTTTTCTCGCCCAGCAGTCTACTGAGGGCTCAGTGTGTGCACAGTGTTCTCACTGGTCCATGAGCAGCACCCTCCCCGGCAGCAGCACCCCAGTGGTCCTACGGCTTTCTGAGATCTCTGCCGACCTCTGGAAGTTACAAGGAGGAGAAAATTATGCAGCCAAAGCATCAAGCATTTGCAACCAGTCTGGGGATAGGATGAAAAGATGTTTTTATGAGTTGCAGACCTCAGTTCTACCCACAGCCACGTCCTGAGGTCTCTGCTCTCTGCCCAAGACTGGGAAAGCTGCCTCAGCCCGCTTTCTTGAACATTCCTGTCTCTCCCTTGCTTTAGTTTCTACTAACTTCTCAGATTACGGCTCCTTTTGTGCTAATTACACCAAAAAAATTGAAAGAATGTCGCTGACTTTACAAAGAACACAAAGCAGATTTGCTTTAAAAACTAAATATAGCCAGTTTCTTTCAGAAGGCAGGGGACTGTGTCTTCAAACAGTTTGTGTGATGAGGATTAATTGCAGATGGCCAGCTCCTTTCTCAGATCCAGGTGATGGAGGGCCCCAGCTATTGGGACAACCTACAAAAGATGTGTGTTGCTTTGGGAACCATTTATAGAAAGTGAGAAGTTCTGATTGGCAATGAGCTTTCTTGCTGCACTTAACTGTAAATGAAGACTTGCCAAGGATGATGGGCTAAGTTAAAATGCCACGGAAAGAGCAAAGACTTGGGAGCTGCCAACTGCAGAATGAAGTGCTTGGCCTGGCCAGACAGCTCAGCGGACTAAAGAGCCTGCTTGCCTGCTTAGGCAGAGCACAGGGACCAGGGTTTGATCCCCGGTACAGCTAGCCATGCCAGCCCTGCCCCCGGGATGCACTGAGCCAGTGACAGATTGGGTGTGGCAGTGCGCTCCTGTAATCCCAGACCTTGGGAGGCTGAAAACAGGAGGATCCCTCCGAGTCCCATCTGTGTAGTGAGAACCTGTAGATCCTGTACTAAATACATTTAAAAAAAAAGAAAGAAAGAAAGAAAGAAAGAAAGAAAGAAAGAAAGAAAGAAAGAAAGAAAAGAGAAGAGAAAGAAAGAAAGCAGTGCTTGTCTGGAGAAAGGGGAACTTGTACTAGGCAGGTGAAAATATAAATAAAAAGAAAATCTAACTGCTTATTTTGGAAGGTTGCAGCTGCAAGAGAGCAAGATGGTGTTTTTTGTAGCCCCTGCATGTAAGAAACTGCCTTTCAAAAGACAGAATTCAAAAGGGTGTATCATTCCCATGAGTCAAGCAAATTATGGATTCCCCTCTCCTCAAGAACCCCCCTAAGGGTTAATAGGTGAACAGCAGCAGCTTGGAATGATTTACTTTTTTCTAAGGAACATTAAATACGGAATTGCTCATGCTGAAATAATGCTACAGCTGTGATCCAGGGGGCCAGATTTTGGGCACTGGTGAAAGTGACAGGTGTACTCATCGTATGCCCAGCTTGGCTGAAATCATGATGCCCAACTCGAAATTTTTCCCCAATTAACTTGTGGTGACTCTGGAGTCAGTGAGGAAAGAGCCTTTGGCCCAGGCACAGAAGAGCATGTGTGCTCAACCTTCAACAAAAATGTCAGCCTTGGGGAAGAAGGGAACTGTGGCTCCCTGAGCAAAGAACAAGTAAATCAAGATGGGCCTGCAGCATTTAGGAAAGCAGGACAAAGAGAAGATCTAATCAGCAGCAAACCCTCCTAGGTTCTAAAGCGAACATGTCTGCTCCACTGTTCAGCTCTTAGAGGATTCCAGCAATCGGAGCAAGCCTAGGACTCTGGGAAGTGTGTCACCAAAATTGGTGTTGTTAAAAGAAGTTGCACAAAGATAGAAATGCGGAGTCTAATATGCAACATACTAATTATACCTATTTTTATCCCAGGGTTGCAGTGACCTAAAGCTAAGAAATAAAAGACTCTGGAAAACTAGCCCTTCACCTATAGAAGACATGACTGCCTTGTTGGAAAGGGAGTGCGGTAGTGCTTCCTCTGGCTCCTTTGGTCTAACCTGAGGTGAGAAATGAGATGTAGGAAGGTGGTGGATTTGCTGAGAACTTGACAACAGGAAAGACTGGCAGCTGGCTGTAGACTAAACTTTGGCAGTCCTGGTGTGATACCAGGATGCTGGTAAGAAGGCAACTCAGAAATGTCAAAGACCAGCCTGAGCAGACTGCCCTGGTTAGGAGAACGCAGCAAGAAGACCTCGCAAGGGTTGGCCAACTCAAGTGGGTCCTAGACAGAGCTCATTGGGCCCATTTCACTGACAGCAAAGGTCCTGGATCCTAATCTTCTTTCACTGTGGTGCCAGCTGGCTGAACCACACAAAGGAAGTTGACATAAAACTTAGCCAGGCCCAAGAGACCTCTACTTTTAATTAAATAGATACTTCATTGACTCACAATCATTGAAGGTATCCCAGAGTCTAGAAAGCTCCATGCCCCAAATTGATGGTATTTAACTGACACTACTGAAAAATGGCCAGAATTTAAGGTCATTCTCTTTTTTGGGTGTGTATTACTACTTCAAATCCACTATTTCAACGAGCTACCATGAGTTAGCTAAAAGAACATGAAAACCCAAATGTATAGGAGTATGCCTGCTCAAGAGACAGTATTTTAATTGTAAGTTTTTTTGTTTTTGGCAGAACCGGGGATTGAACTCAGGCACTTGCCAGGCAAGCACTTATTCTACTGAGCCATCTCCCTGGCCCCTTTAATTGTAAACTTAAAAGGCCTTTGTTGTTCATTTATTTTGCCCATCTTTAAATGTGTTAAATAAATTTGTTTTCTTCCAGTTGACAAAATTTCCTATCTACTAGATTTATTGGGGAGTAGAGAAGGTTTTAAGAAGGACACTTTCAAAAAAGAAAGGAAAGGGGAAAAAAAGGAATGGCTGAAGAATAGACCTCTATAACCACCATAGCTCATGGTAATTGAGTCCTTGCTAATACCTGATGACTGCACAGGAGTGGCCAGCTGTCGCTCTTTTCCCTTCAGAAACACGGCGTTTGTTTGTCTAGTAAAGGCTCACTGGGCTACTTTGGAGGGCTGCTCAATGGGGCTACCAATAAACCTAAGTCATCAATTCTTGACCTTCTTCCCCCCCCCCAAAAAAAAAAAAATTCTCAGTGGTAAAGGGATAAAAACACATTTTCAAGGTTCCGCCACTGGAACATAAAAATAAAAGATCAAAGCTGGGCTTCAGTGGTCCGATCACACCTGGGCTCCACTCTGCTCAGACCCCAAATGAAATAAGTGAGCCCGAGAACGGCATCTGGGGGAGATGCCCTGCTTTCCTTGGGGCTGAGCTATTGGCAGAAGAAGCACAAAGGGAGGTGTGCCAGGGAGCTGTCACCTCTGCCTCCCCTGGCCCCCTCCCTCCCGCCTGCTTGGCCTTTTACTGTATTGAGAGGTCAAGGGAAAAAAATGCCAGTGGGGGGTAAGTTGTGCAGATGTGAGGAGAGGATGAGACTAGATTATCTAGTTTCAGTCTCGGTGACTGCGATAAGGACAGGGCGGAGGTCAGCTTTTCCAAGAAACAAAATCATAGACATTTTTCTTTTTCTGTGAGAGCAACAGTTTTCTTTTCTCACTAGCTGGATTGAGCTGGCTGGGACCTAAGACAAGACGAGGGAGGGGGGCCTCAGCTTCCTCTCAATTCTAAGATGGCTGCAGGCACTGTGCAAACCTGGGCTCAGGTATGATGGTGCTGAGAGTTTAGCTCTCTCCCCGCCGCTCGCCTCTTCTGCCTGTCAGAGGGATCAGCCTGCTCCTTCTTCCCATCTGCAGCAACGGCCCTTGGGGGCCTGTGCCGGGGTGACATCAGGGCAGGGGCACGGAGGAGCCGATCTGCTCAGATATTTGGGCAAATTGGTTATCTGAAGACAAAATAGCCAGATGCTTTCTCCCAGTTGAACTTTCAACCAAACTGATGGGAGCTTTGCTGTCAAGGAGAGAGAATTCAATTGGAAAAAAGATGTGGACCATGAAAGGCCGCAGGACCAAGGAAGTGTTACATGTTTCTAGCAGTGAGAATCTGAGTTTGTAAGTTGAGCTAACCGCCTTAAAATTTATCAGAACCAAGCTACAAATGCAAGGATGGATCTTTTTAAAGATTTTATTGTCCCTATTTGTTTGGCTTTGCTGCTACCAGAAAGTGGCTGGGAACCCTTTCTTCAGGGCTCCATAAAATGTAAATTAAGAAACCATCTAATCTCAACCAATATTAATTCTGATATGAAAAATGAGACCGATTCTTCAGATATGATTATGCTCTGTACTGCCTAACAGTAACAGAATACCTAACTGCTTCACAAATACCTGAATACTTTCTTTTTCCAAAGCACCTATTTATTTTGAGGAGGGAGCAAATTCTAATACTTTACCTCTTCTGACAATACACAACCCCCTGCCTTGGGCTTCCTGTCCCTCAGGCTAGGTGCACCCTATATGATTTATCTGGCTGTGTTCCCCTCCAAACTACAAAATCATTGTAAAATAAAATCTCCTTGCTAAGGATCCTACCTTACTGTCCTAGAATCTGTCTCCTTTTAGACAGAAATACTGACTCCTAATACTGCTTTCTAAATAGGAAAGAAAAAGGAGGAAAAAAAGAAAACAAAAAAAAAATTCTAACATTTTTTTTAAGGGTCCATGAAAGAAGCCGGGCTCCTCCACTCTTGTGGTGGGCAGAATCACCCAGACAGGGGCCGAACAGGACCCTGCGTGGCCTGGCACACAGGGAGACCACACTGGCCCTGGGTAAGGAGCTGGCGCTGCATCTTGCCTCCCTATTTCGGATTCTGCAGATGTTTTACTCTGCGTGTTAATCTTCTTACTATGCGTAGAAAATAAAGTGCTTTCACTCCTAACTGTCCACAATTCACCTACCACAAAGCCCTAAGTCCCTGCGGTTTCATTATCAGTTGCCTGCTAATAATAATCAAAATTAGAAGCGTCTCCAGCAGGGTGACAATTGAGTGAGAGGAATAAGGCACCCGGGAAACCAGATCGTCCCGGGCAGTTGCTGCCCGGCGTGCCTGCTCGCGCGGGAGGGGCAAAGCTGCCAATCAGTTTAATTCAAGGCCAGGGGCTCCCCAGGCGGCCACCCCACTTGTAACATGGACCCTGAGCCCCAGCGTGGTTCTACAAAGGCGGCAAGAGCGGGCTCGAGCCATCGCTGCGGCTCGGCGGCGCGGGAGCCTCTCACCGCAGCCAGAGCCGCGCTTCTCGCAGCCTGTCAGGAAAAAGCCCCCGAGCTGGGGAGCGGGGAGGGGAGAGCGGGCCGAGGCGGCCTTTATCCCCCTAGGGTGCTTACAGCTAACCTGGATGTGCCTGGCTACTCTGTTGCTTAGATTCCCATTGCCAGAGGAGAAGGCTTTTTTCCAGCTCTTTGGAGAGTGGGTCTGGCATTTATTTCTTCACGGACACTGTCACCCTTTGAGGCTTGGTGGAGCCCACCATATGCTTACAGCTGAGATTTGGGCAGGGATGGGAACAGGAGCAGAGATGGGAGGCGGAGGGGACTTGCCTTCACTCTTGCTTGGGCCGAATGTGGCCTCTTAGCATCTGGTTCTACAGTTCTTTCCCCAGCCCTGAAACATGGCTTCTGCCTGCCGGAGCATTAGTCCCAGACCTCTGGCTCTGTCCCTATCTGCAGCCCCAATGCCCCACATGTCCATGAGTGCTCAACATCTGACCCAGCACCCGATGCTGAAGAAAAACCCCATCTTCCAACAACGGGATTGTGTGGCCCCTCAAAAGCTCTCCAGCTTGACCTCCCCACGGGATAAAATTGCATCTTGCCCCACAGAGGGAAAGAGAGAAGCCTGCATCTAGCAGGTTGTTCATCTTGACTCTGCAGGCTTTTGCTTTCACAGTTTTCCCTGGCTGAACACAGCAAGGTGGCCCTAGACCTCTCTGGCTGTGCACCCTGCAGAGGGGCTGGGCTCCCCCTCTAAGGGCATCCATCACTCCATAGTGACAGCAGCCCATGGCAGAGGTCCCCTCCCTTCCCCCTCTGCAAGCCTTCTCTGTAAAAAAAAAAAAAAAAAAATCTTGTTCTTTCATCATAATTAAAGAGCTGTCAGGGAAATGGCGCGGCTGATTTTTGCTGTGTTGAAATGACCCTCCCTCCATCTCTCTTTTCCTCTCATTTGCTAAAGTGGTCCTTTCTCTCCCTAAAATCTGGCTCTTTGGTGATGGAAATTTTAGCTAGAAACAGCTTTCAGAGTGAAATCCTAACCTTGGGAGGGTGGGGAGAGAAATCGATGCTTTGAGCCGGCCTGTCTGCAGCAAGGTCCTGGCAAGGCTGGTCTCATCGGCAGCGGGAACAGGGGCGGCAGCTGCCTCTGGGCTTTAGATCCTTGCAGGGTCTCCTAATTGCAAGTCCTCCTCAGGGCATACAATTTAGCAAAACTTAGAGACTGGTTCTCCCTGTTGACTTAGCTAAGGGGCAGGAGGAAGCTATTTAGAAGGAAGCAGAGTCTGATGGAGGAAGATAAAAATCCAAATGCCTTTCATGCTCCGAGGGAAAGCATGACTGCATGTTTAGTATCATCGCCAGCCTGCGTGCTTGTGTGTTTGAAATAAAGCTACAGGGCACACGTGGAGCTTAATCGCCCTTCTCCGGTGGACTGTTGTGGAGCCACACAAGTATTTTTTCATGCCCACGATGCTGCAGCATTCAGGGACCTTTCTGGAATCTCATCTCATCTGGTGACAGTGTTGTTCTCATCCTGTTAGCCATCCCAGAATTTTGGAAAGGCACAATTCAGGAGGGTGATAATCCAAAAACAAAACCAAACAGAAGAGAACCCACAACCTGAGCACTACCCAGCACCCACTGTAATCTACAGCATTTATTCAAATACGTATTATGGGGGATTCATGATATTGATCCTAGCCTTCAACTCCTTACATTTTAAAGAAACTAGAGTGTCAGGAGCTTTCAAAATTAGCTTAATTTCCTTTTCCGAAGGATTGTGCATCTAGAAAAGGCCCTCTTTAAGTCACACTGGGGAGCCTCACTGGCAGGCTTTGGGGCTTCTAGAAGGGAATGCTAATATCTGGCACAATGGCAGTCCAGGCCTCCCTTAACTGAATCGTTACTTGTTAATACACCTCTGAGTAACTCTAAGCTAAGGTGTGACATCAACCCAAGTGTCACTAGGCACCAGTTGTCTCTCCTCTGGCTGTAACCATAGGCCTCTGTGTGTGTGTGTGTACACGCACACGCACACACACACAGGGTGGGTGGGGGGTTATGTAACAGACAACCGGGTTGCTTCGCTGCTCCTCTGCTGGCCGCTCCCAAGCTTCCCGGTTTCTTTTCTCCATGCCCTCCACCCCACATTATTTCATTTTCAGAGGAAGCAAAGCAACTCCAGAGTTCGGAAAGTGCTCTGATTTTCTGGCTGGCCTATGTGGCATAGCTGTGGAAGGTAAAGCCACGTGGGGCCTGTCACTGTGGACCTGGGCTGAGTGAGGCAGTCACCCCAGTGGCCGTGCTCTGAACCTGGCTCTCGCCACTTGAGCAGGGCCTCCTGGCTGCCAGGTGCCTCACCACCAAGGCACCATGTCGCTTTGGAGAGCTGGGGTGCAGGGGCTAGAAGTCCTGGGATCCCGGGAAGGGAAGCTGTTCACCGCACTGGGGGCTACTAGGCAGTCAGAG